GTGTGTGTGTGTGTGTGTGTGTGTGTAACAGATAACATATCGTCACAATTGTCTTCTTCTTGTAAGACAGCCACGGTTCAGCAATTGTTCAGTTGTATAGTGAGTTCGATTTAGTTATGTTTCATAGCCGGTTACTGGCAATACCTATCATTTTAACGACATATTTCCCGTTATCATAGTGTGCCCTAACACATCTTCTACAACATGGAAACTAACAACGGCTGCTTTAGACTGGGGGCTCTGAGGAAACTTAAAATATGACCTGTTTTTCATTATCAAAAAAATGTATAGAGGTATTTTTTTTCCTCCATCGATACAATGTTTGATAATTTAGGAGGCGGGCTTCCATGCTGCCTATCAGAATCAACCCGACCTAAGAGGGATACAACATCCCATCAGGTGTAACAAGATATTCGATAATAAACTTTTTGCCCACACGGGAATCGAACTCGGATCTTCTGCATGCTACGGCGAAGACACCACAGACGCCGGTAAATATGACCTTAAAATAAGTTATGAGGTAGAATTACTAAAAACATTCCCATACCAGCATGCTCAACACTTGCCAGATTACGTCTAGTCAAATTGTAAAAAAAATAATTTTTAAAAAATAATTAAAAATGAAGAAGTCAAACGATATGCTTTGCTTGTACAGCTTTCTCAAAAAATGACTCAAAGAAAAATTTCCAGATAAATGATTTTGATCCTCAGAACTTGTCGTAAATGCAATAGGGAAAATTTAGCGATCCGCAACTCGCTGGCTTCTTTTTCCCCGAAATAAAATGTTCCAGGGAAAAAAAAAAGAATGGGACCGAAGCATGAAACATAAATACATGTACATGTATTCTCCAACTTTGAAGGGGCATGTCCCTTTGATCGCAATTCTTTCAGCAGCACTTAATACTTGTTTGTTTACACACTGGCGAGGTAATGGGTAGACCAGCAATAAATAATATGGTGCAAGTTGAAGGCAATGCAGATGCCTGGAAAAATCAGTTTAAAAAATTGTCAGCCTTGGTTGACAACGCAAATCATTCAGCTTTCAAAATAAATAAACAAATACAGGATAAGTAAATAAATCAATAAATAATAAATTAGTGATAAATA